AAACTAGGGCTGATCATGCATAACCTTGTTCAAGATTTTGTACTTAAGAGCAATGGAAAAGCACAAGATATTTAAACTATGGAACTATTTTAATTATATTTACATTTTATCAAAACTGTGAATGCTGTATTAAGTTAATGGAGAAAACCTTGCAAAGGATTCAGAACAGTTGGAGACTAGGGATTACCATTGTCTCACAAACATTCTCATGTGAGATAGCTAATCTTACCAAACTAATGGTACAGAGAATCATCTAAATTAGTGAAGCTCGTCTCTAGGTACAGTGTATTAATTAATGGGGGAGCACGTGTGCCCTGAATGTAGTGAGTACCATCTTATAGCTGAGGGCCAGAAGGAATAAACGAGAAAACGATGTCTTTTAGTGTAGGGATTCTCTTTTTTTGCTTCCTGGAGACTATGACCTGAGTGAGCTGCTCTGAAAACCAGGCTCACCTGCTTTGGCTTTGACTGGGAATATAACTAAATTATGTCCAGTCACTGTCATTTGGTTGAGAATGCATAAAACATAACCTGAAGCCATGAATTAAAGACTTGCCCCTTTTTGACTTCATATGCAAATATGACAAAAATTGAGAAATAGCAGTGTAACAAGAGAAGGCAAATGTCAAACATCTAGTGTAAAGATGATAAACACATACTTATACAGATAAATTCTCTAATTATATCGCTATGCAGGAAACTTTTGAAATAAAGCTAGGCTTTTAAAAATCTGTCTTAAAATACAATAATGAAATCAGCATAATTTATATTTCACTCTTCAAACATTTTTCTATCTTTTCTGGATTTAATATATTGAACGCATTTTGTTCCTCCAGAAATTAGAAAGAAGCCTACATGTGGTTAAATTGCCCTCAACATCCATCTTCCAGTGCCTACTGCTCCAGTTTAAATGTGTTTCCTCAGTGCAGTCTTCGGAGGCACTGGGGAAAGGTCCGGTTTCCAAACAGCAGGTAACCTAACATGTCATCTCTTCTGAAAGAGATGGTTAACAGAAGAGTCAGCATTTGCCTCTTGTTCAGTTTTCACAGAAAATGCTGGGTTTATTAATGGGGTAATAATATGATGGGGTAAATAATATGAAAAATTTCAGAAGTGTAAATGTTTTAAAATGACAGCAACATAAATACATGAAAAGAAGTAATTACCTTTACTTTCTCAAAGGATATTCATACTAAAATAACAAATTACTTATTCCACTATATTCTCTAAAATAAATTGTGGTTACTTCCTTTAAGAAGATAATATTCCAATAAACATCCAGTATTCCCAGAAATAACTTCCATTCAAATTTTTCATTGTATACATTTTATACTATTGATACAATAAGGTATTTATGTATGCATGTACACACTGTACAATATATCGTATATTATAATTTACATGAATATGCAAAGATGCGATCATATAAATATAGCTTCTTTTAAATGTTGTTCCCTTCTCTAAGCTTCCTGTCAACTCTGCATACAACATATATACACTGTTGAAGCCTAAAGAAGGGTCTTGTTAGGCACTTGCTCTTTTATCAGGCAACTTTCAATTTTTAAAAAAGCATATCTTTATATTAATATTAGAAATATCCTTTAAAATGAATATGTATATGTTCCCTATATCCTCATAAACAAAAATGTACTTTTCCACAGAGTACCACTCTAATTTCATTTCCCATAGTGTACAACTATAATTTCATTACCTCCATTACCAATACTAAGTTGGGACATTTTTTCAAATCTTCTGTGAAGAAATCTAACAAGAATTTTTATGTCCATTTTGACAATTGGATTTTGTGGTCTTATCAAGTTTTTAAAATTCATTCTATATTAACATATTAATTAATCCTTTCATATTTCATTTTAAAAATTTTCTATTTAAAAATTAGTGTGTTACTTTATAACCAGGTCTTTTCATTTTATAGAATATTTTTTTCTAAATTATGATTCATAGATCTGTGACTGTAATTAGGCTAATTTCTCAAACCTATGTTGTTCCTTCTGTTTACTTTTAGGAACTTTATTGCCACCTTTTTCATACATTTTCCCTCTGTTGGAAGTCACTGTTTTTTTTTTCTCTTATTGATTTTTTATTGAGCTCTACAGTTTTCTCTGCTCCCCTCCCTGCATCTCCCCTCCCCTTCAAGCCTCTCTCAAGGTCCCCATGTTCCCAATTTACTCAGGAGATTTTGTCTTTTTCTACTTCCCATGTAGATTAGATCCATGTATGTTTCTCTCAGGGTCCTCATTGTTGTCTAGGTTCATTGGGATTGTGGTTTGTGGGCTGCTTTTCTTTGCTTTATGTTTAAAACCACCTATGCGTGAGTACATGTGATAATGGAAGCACTTCTTAATGTAATAGAAAAACAAAGGGTCATTGTTTTTCTGTAAAGCTGAAAGGCAAATCAGTCCTATATTAATAATGTGTTATCTTATCAATAAGCATACACATCTTTGTCTTTCTTTAAGCTGGTTTTACTTATTGGAATCTGTCTCCAGGCTCTCTAACACTCCCTGGGACTTCTCATGACAATGCCCTCCTAACCCATTAGTCTTTACAGCATCACCTGACGTCTGCAGTAAATGTCTCCTCTGCTTGTTATTCAAAGAGGTGCCCTTCCTATCTACTATAAATGAATATCACATCATTCAAATAAAAAACAAATATCAGTTAAGATGAAATTAAGATGCTTAATGGATAAATGTTTTTCAGAAAAATAGGGGGATTCAAAAATAGTACTTCCACCCCCAAACAAATACGTTTCTATTTGTTCAGATTTTGTACTGCAGTTAATAAAGTTACACTTTAAATAAAACATTGATAAACTTGTTATTACCAATTTTATTTACTTTTAGGGATTCTTGTGAATGGAGTTTTTATACCCTTTCCTGTATTAGGTATTTAAATTTACATGGATTTCTAAGTTTATAGCTATTTCATCATATCATATGTAGTTTTTTATTGTTAATTATGCATACGCGTATGTGTGTGTGAATGTGTGCTGGGCGGGAGTAAGGTACATGTGTGAGTGTAGCTGTCGGCAGAATACAGAAAATTGGATTTTCTGGGGTTGTGTTACAGGTGGTTGTGAGCTGCCCTACATGGGTTCTGGGAACTGAAAAGGGATCCTTTGCTTTTCACTAATAAGCCCTATTTGGCCTGTTTTGGGAGATCTTAACTATAGGTCAAATAACTATAAAAGAAAAGATGAGTGAATATTTTTCAAGTTTCTTATTTACTTTTGTAAGGCATTTTGAAATTATAAATATAAAAGCAGAAATTATGTAAATGCTTAAAGCAATATTTACTTTTCCAGAAATTAATTGTCATTAGCCCATTTCTTAGACAGTATTTTATATTTTGATTGTTTTCTTATGCCAGCAAGATGGCTCATTGCTGCTGAACAACAATCCCTAAGTTTGAGCCTGTGGACTCACACTGTAGAGTGAACTGACTCTCACAAGGTGTTCTCTAACTTCTAAATGTGTACTGTGGTACACACATGCAAAAGTAATAATCAAGTAAATGTAAATCAAAATTATTTTGCTAATATTCATTTGTTTAACTGGAATATTTTTAATAAAAACAGCTAGATGATTATTATTTCTTTTAAACATTTATATGTCTAACATTAATAGCTTCCATGTCTACAAAGTAAAAAATATTATGCTTGGTAAAATAAAATCCACTTAAAAAAAAGTACTTCTATGTATGTTACATTGCAGAAGAAGAAAGAAAATGGGATCAAGCCAAGAGACTTTCAGAAGAATGTACATTACTGAAAAATTCATTGAAAGTGTGAATCTTCCTCTTTAGATCTGCAATATCTGCTGAGAGAGTGGAAAACACGCCCCTCCTCCGCCGAGTGCAGAATACTGTACTCTCAGACTCTGGATAAACCTGCCCATGGCCATGCTGTGCTGTTTCACCAGCCATGCCATCCCATTGCTGATAGTGGTAAGCAATAGTCAAATTCCTCTCAAATTCCATTCAATTTTTCCTGATTCCAGGTGTGGAGTGTGAGAGAATAACATTCTTGTTGGCTGAAAATAGTTCTTATACTTGGAAACAGTCACCTAAGACACTGTCTCTTCTAGAATAAACTATGACAAATACCATACGATACAGATTTTACTATGCAAGCCAACCGTATTCTTTAATGATTGCTCATTAAGACAATATTTAGGATGTGCTGTGTGTGTCCACATATAAGGGTCCATGTGAGTGTGCATGCCAAGGCATGTATGAGAAGATAAGAGATCAGTGGAAGACTTGCAGTTAGCTCTGTCCTTTTGGCAAGTGAGAGTGATTAACTGAACTCAGGTAGTCAGGCTTGGAGGCATGCACACTTGCCTGCTGAACCAACTCTGATCCTATTTGTATTAAAGGTGGCAGAGTGAGAGTCCACTAGTTCTGACAAAAGGATAAATCACTACATATGAATTGGAGAAAATTCAGAGAAAGCAAGTGCAATACTGTGAGATATAGATACTCTGTGAGATGTCATATATGTTATTCAGCTAAACTTGTAGCAAGTAATTTTTGCATTGTATTATATTGTGTAATATTTTGAGAAGATGTCTTGATATCCTTCCCAGGCTCAAGATTTAGATCAGCATGTCTCTGCTTGGTGAGCAGTACATACTTGAGGCAAACGTCACTAAATACAGCTAACAAGAGTGATTTCCTGACAATATTTTCATTGTCAAATTATTTTTTGTGGAAATTTCAACATATATTTAATCTTATATACTAGAGTCCTTCTTTATATTTTATTCCCACAAATTTAGAAAGTATGTGTGCATTAATGGCATTGCTTTATGTGCACTATAAACACATTTACATTAATTCTTTCTTTTGCAGTGACGGATGTGAACAGTGAAATAGCCAGTAATGAAAAGATAGACCAACAGGCAAGGTAAAGCAAATTCCAGGAAGATAAACCAAACTTGGTAGAACTTAGCACCAAAGTTAAATAGAGAGTTACTTACGGATACACTTGCGAAAGCTGTTTGGCTATTGCATAAGCTGTTGGGTCTCGGTCTAAAGCATAGACAGTAATATCTGGTTCCTTCTGCAGAATAGCTTTTGTGTGTCCTCCTGCACCAAATGTCATATCTAGAAAGACCTTACCAAAATTGAAAACAATTACTTTTTAGCAATGAACATAACATTGTTTTCAACTACTTTATTTTGCAGAAGTAGACAACTTTAAAGATAGGAACAAACATAAAAATAGTATTGTTTGCCCTAAATTCAAATTTTCAGAATTAAGACTTGGCTTTATTTTGAGCAGTAAGTGTTTCATCAGAACAGAAGTAAGATTCACTGGAAAACCAAGACACATTAATATTTCACCATGAGGTCAAATTGGCCACAGTGCTGTGATGCTAGCTTTAGTACTTTATAGCTAGCTGAAAACTAGCAATATTTCTAATAACTTCTCATTATTGGAGATAGCGTAAAATTAGTGTGGTTCATAGCATAATAATTTTATTAAATACTTAAAGGAAATCTAGATATATTCATGAAGGTGGGAATGAGACTAGGTATTTCTAAAAACAGTCATAGAACAAATATAATAAAATCTGAAAAATAAAAAAATAACAAATACAAGACAAAAGAGTCGAAGGCTTCTTATGTCTAACACTTGAGACAAATTCTAAGCTTGTAATTAAATTAGGTACATATCTTTGGAAAAAAACCACCAAAGTAACACAATTCTAATACCTTTAAACGTCTCCAGAGCTTAGGAGCAAGAATAATGAAAGACATCAAAGAAACAGTCTGAGCATGTTATATTATGTAATAAATATGTACACTGTCTTTATTTTATATTACCAATGACCTTATTGAAATAGCCCACAAAACTAAATTTATGACGTTGGGAGGGTGTTCAAAGACTTCCCTAACTTCCAAACCAGTCCCAACCTACAAATTTTTACACTGTTTCTTATGGTCCAGATGTGGTGTACTGCTCAACTGTAATTTTACAATTCTCTTTAAAATGTGGGCAAACAAGATAACTAAGAAGACTGAGATCTAGTTCTTACAATGTATGTCTAAAAAGATCCACACTTTTAAAGATATGTATCTAACTATATTTTAGTGTTCTGGTAAAATTATTGCAAATCTTTCACTCTCCAAAGAGTCATGGTTTGGATGAGAAATAATAATCAATGTAGTAATGTTGGATACAATGATAACCTAAGATTATCAACCAGAGTTAAAATATATTTAAGTACACATGTTAAAAACTGTATATACAAACTTCACAAGAAGGGAAGTCCCTGTGTCTGTTATTTTAACATTAAAACCTACTTAATCTGGAATAAATCTTCTCACTAAAATAGAAAGAACATGGCCATAAAACAGATTATGAAATAAACATGGGGAAAAAAAGTGTACAAGGAGCACTGACAATTTTTTAATTTATGTATTTCATGCAGCATGTATATATCATTTATGTTTTTGTATGACATGTCTGTATGCATGTATATGGATGTGTGGGTGTGTAGGGGTGGATACATTTGCCTGGCTTTATGTAAGTCCTGCGGCTTCGAAATAAGTATTTCACACACATATGGAAAGTTGTTTTTACATTTAGCCATTTCTCAAGACCGACATAAAACATTTTCAGAATTTAACATTATACTTCTATCAGCATTGGCACAAAAAACATAGCTATATATTATATACCACTTTAAATAGCAATTTTACATTTTAAGAGATTCATAGTTAGAGGAGCTGTAAATAGCTCAGCAGTAAAGAGCATTGCTTGCTCTTCAAGTGGCCCCTGTTTCAGTTCCCAGCACCCACCTGGAAGCTCACAATCATCTGTAACTGGAGTTAGAAAGAATCCAAAGCTTCCTTCTGCCTTCTCCAAGCATCAAGAATGTGTACTGTGCTTAGACATACATGCCAACAAAGCACACATGCACATGAAATACAAGGAAATAAATAATGTAAAGAAGAAAAACAAACACAAATCTCATGATCAAATGATGGCATTTCCCAAAGCAGACCTTCAGGCACTTAGTGAATAGGCAAAACAGGATCCTCTGAGTTACAAATCTCTTATCCATCCTTACCTGTGTTTTAAAGTCATGGTTTCAGCCTAATTTAAAAAAAGAACTTTCCCCAAACAAAGCTCATATGTATCAACATCAAAAACCTGTTAGAACACTGGATTTAAATAAACAATTTTCACATGATTAACTTTTCCCAAGTCAAATATATCCGAAGCAGTTTTTTGAAATGGTATAGTATCCTTATTCAAAGATATTCTGAAATATGTAAAATGATTACAATTTACATGATTACTTTTAATATATCATGATTATATTCTTAGAGATGTACTACCAATAAAGAAGGTTTCTGCAGGTGAAGAAAAATCATTTATTACTAGCCAAATGTAACACAGCAAGCATAAAGTAAAAGATAAATGGGATTTATGAAATAAGAAGTGAACCCTACCACGTTTTGGGTGAATGGGTGACCAAGCCATCACTTTGCATTTCTAAAATTATAACAGGCATTAACTTTTTATTCTCATGGATAATTAATATAGCAATAGGCCACATTTTTCATTTTCACAAGTTGATAATAAACAAGGAAATTTTATTATGGATGTACCCTTTCCTTAGACATTTACAAAACAAATCAACATGAATGTTTCAAATGACCCTTTCCATAAACCACCTCTATAAATATGTCACAATTCTAATCTCATGCTACAACTTAATTTAAAAAAATCAAACTTGCTATTGATACTATGTTCTGGATAATTCATTTATGAACTCCATGGCCCTGGTCACATCATTCTAGCTTTCTGAGCTTCAGGGGTTTGACGTGATTTTAGAGTATATCAAGCATGAGAGTTATCCTGTTTCTCTAAGGAAAACTCAGGGGAAAAGAATGGACAAGTAGAAATATTTGGCTTTTTGAAGAAAAAAAAACTCGGATGAGAGATAACAGTTTATGATGATAACAGGAACTGAGAGGAGACCAGCTCTGCTTGAATAGCACCAACTCCTCCAGTATTCCTTCTAAACAAAGTACAAGGAGAAGGAATGACAGGGGAAGAAAACAAATAAAAACATGAATTCCCTAACCTGAATCACAGCAGAGTGGCACTGTACCTGTTAAACAAGGAAGTCTAACTATTCGTAGATGAGGCAACCCCACTGGGATCAATTAGGTCCTATGAAAGATGTCTTTAATCCATGTTCCCTCTCCACCTCTCTCCATTCTAACCTCTTAGTCTCTAACTCTTCTTCCTCCTCCCATCCATCCCACTTCTTGTGCCAGGATGAGTTCCTAGGTGCGCTTAATTATATCCTGCACTTATTTCTTCCTTCTCTTTTTAGGCAGATGCTTTTAGAATATATATTTCGTGTGAGTTTTTTCAGCACAGGAAAAAATATCTTTTTGAAACCATCAAAACCATTTTATTGCAAAGAAGCATCTTTTAGTAAAAATAAATAGAAAATGCTGGTTAAGCAGAGAAAAACTGTATTTAAGAAGAGATATTTTTCTGAAGTTGGACAGAGGAAAGAGAAAAGATGCACAAGTTGTGACTTGACTAGTATAAAACGAGAGCAGTTTCCTGAAAGACAACTGAAAAGGAGAGCCCTAAGTTATGGATTCCCAGGAGTTCACGTTTTGTTTGGTGAGTATGTACAAGCAGAGCAAAGGAGTCCAGGAAATTCACTGGGGATGAAGTGAGTGATGTGCTTGTTGATATGATGTGAACAAAGGAGCTAAGGGTCCGAATGCCACCACATGAAAGCAGGGAATACTGAGCATCAGTCAAGAAACAGCTCCAAATTTAGGACGCAGTACTGGAAGAGCACAGCAAAAGATCTAAACTGCTCCAGAGATCCGCACTGCTATTTAACAACAACACTGTTTCCTTAAAGAAAGAGAAATCTTTGAGAACATTAATAATTTATAATTCACTGTGATGTTTAATTCTGTTAACAGTATGTTTTGTCAGTCAGCAACCTTTACATTTAAAATGAAAAAAATAAGCATTTTCTGGCTTTAGGTTAACTGTTTTTGATGTAATACAATTAAATGATATTTTATCTCTATAATCATCTAAAACCAAAGAATCCTGCTCTGCTTATTTCCTTCAAAGTGAATTAACAATTGAATCACAGCTATAGATCTCATTTGGACATAGGACAGGAAAAAATTTCAGAAAATTAATGTTATAACTAAATATTCTAATCCTTCAACAATGAGGAAAGAGGTCCAAAAGGAAGCTGGTTGAGGGCAATGTTAATATCAAACCTGTCATCCCATAATACTCTCCTGTCAGAAATATATCACTAAAACACAAATGATATTCTCTCTTTCTTTTTCTCATTTTACTTTATTTTATTTTTGTAAATAGGATTTCTCTGTGCAGTTCTGGCTGTCCTGGAACTCTCTCTGTTGACCAGGCTGGCCTAGAACTCAGAAATCCACCTACCTCTGCCTCCCCAGTCCTGGGATTAAAGGCATGCACCCCTGCCACCTGGTTTATGGGCATGGGCCTAAGTACAAGCTTTGCTTCATATGTCTCCATCATACTGAAAAACAACAACTAGTCCACCATTTCATTTTGTTCAGAGTGTTTATGAAGATAAGCCAGCTGAACAAATTCCAAAGACAAACAAGTGTTTTGAATGTTGCCTGGTATAAATATTGCTTGTTATTATCACAGACTCTGATGAAGACAGTACTCACAGGTTATAGCTTTAAGGTTGATTTTTTTTATTTAAAAAGAGTAACCAAAAATTAAAATAAAACATTAAAACCAAAAAAGACATGGGTGTATAAAGCTAATAATCACAAATAATTTTAATGTAATTCCCTACTCATACAAACTTTTGTCTTTCTGGACTATACTTTGCCTTTTATTTGACTGTTTCCTGTGTTTTGAAGTCCCTAAGACTTTGGTAATGCTCCTCACTGAAGACGGAAAGTGATACAGACTAGTGTATATGAAATCATCAACACAGGTAGGGAATTTATAAATTGATTTCTTTTCAATATAGCAGTTCTAATCATTAAAAAAATCACATTGGAACACCATTGCTAAAATTGGACATGAAGAAATTTTTAGCCATGAACAGCATG